AATATCCAATACCAAAACATTTCTAGCATACTTACATTGTAAAGAAATTAAAGTTCCATCTTTGATTGTTGAAAGACTTTCTGGTGCATTTCACTAACGGCCAATAAAATTTCCAGTAACATTTTCATCGGACAGGCATGGATCTATTCTGACAAACTTTTCACAAAGTTTAATCCAGGAGCAAAGAGAAGAGAGATCGCGATTGCACACAGTCTGAGTGCGCACAAGCAATATCGGAGTGAGAAGATAGACAGTTAATTTGTACAAGTTAGGCCTATTTGAGAGCTCGCATCCAGTTTTCTGAGATTACATGACCGTGTTCTCATGTAATGCGGGAATGATTAAAATTATGCGGAATACCTGCAATCTCGCACGGACATTCAGACTCTGTAATTGGCAGAAGGTGGATGCATGCCATAGACCAGGGGTTGGCCACTTTCCTTCAGAGGTTAGCTCCGACCCTAATCAAACACCCCTGAACCAGCTAATCGTTAGGTGCGTTCGACTTGAAGCACCGCTACAGACGGCAGTCAACGAGAGTAGCCGCTTGCAGTCGGGGGCGGAGTTGAAAACGGAGCCGTCAAGCCGGACACTTTCTGCTCCCGTTAGTGACGCTCACGCGGTGTTTGCATACTCTATCACAGATGAAGTGAATTAAATGCAATATTTGTCAAATACACAAGACGTTTCAGAAACGTTTTCATGAGCAACAGAAACACTTTTTATATACTGCTTAATACAGCGCCATCTGTTCAAGAATAAAGTTCAACGTAAATATATACTATTTAAATACTAATAAAGTGGGGGTATATATGCTTTCATGATAAACGTGACTCAATATAACATTGCGACTACAGTAAAAAAGCTTTTAATGTTCTAAAAACACAGATTTATGAGCAGTATTGGATTTGAAGATGTTAGAAACACACGTCATTGTTGTCATGTGGTGAATTTGGCCAATCGTGAAACAGCTGTGTCGTCATCAGCGCTCCTGCAGTCACTCCGAAAAAGCTGCGCCAGCTGAGTCAGCCGGCTGTTCTCGAAACGATATCGCGGTACTTTGATGCCACATGTGACATTGACGTAGCGTCAGCGCCGGTTCAAGTCGGACAAAATTTCTAACCGGTATGCACTGCTTCAAGTCAGCCGCCGATCGGTTTGCGCGGCGCCGCATGAAGTTGAACGCACCTTTCGGGTTTGGGTTTATGGGGCTGTCACATGATGAATGAACGACTCAAACCCGAAGACTCGAGAGATGAACTAATCAATTCTCTTTCCGGCTCAGACTGCATTGGTTAAAGCTTATGGGGCTTTCACGTCAGGGGCGTAGATTACGCGGGGGATGTGTCCCCCTCACTTTTAATATCACGTAAATTCGTCCCCCGCACTTTTTCCGGCAAGTGTGTTCGCATAGAGGTTTTCAAGAGCCGGTGTGAATAAATATACATTTAAATTCAAAGAGACAGGATAGTCTGTGCATGATCTGATGTTTTATTCGGACCCAGAATAAGGCGAGATGAACAT